TACTACACACACAAATAAGTAAGTGAATAAATGTGATGAAAATATTTTAAAAGAAACTAATAAACCGAGTCATTTGCCACATACATGGGCGGGGACTTTGGGGAGGTGGGTTTCTTGGTTTCTGTTCTGTTAATGTGAAAAGATGCCATGACCAAGGCAAGCACTTAACTGAGGAGTTGGGGGCTTGCTTAGAGTTTCAGAGTGTAGTCCACGGCCATTTTAGTGGGCAGCGTGGTGACAGGCAGGCGTGTGCTAGAACGGTGGCCGAGAGCTCTTCTGACCTGACAGGTGCAGGCGAAGGGAGAGGGACCTGTGGACTTCTGAAGCCCCAAAGCCCACCCCCAGGGACACACCTCCACTGACAAGGCCAAATGTCCCACCAACTGGGAAACAAGCCTTCACACATGTGAGCCTGTGGGGGCCGTTCCCGTTCAAACCACAGAGAAGTGGGAAAAACCCAGGTATGGGCTTCGGATGCTATCTGATGACATCCTTTTGTTCTGAGATTTATTGATTTTATTTTATGTGTATGAGTGTTTTGCTGGTTTGTATGTATGTATGTATGTATGCCACGTGTGATCCTACTGCCTACAAAGGCTAGAAATCCCCTAGAACTGGAGTCACAGGTGGTGGGTTCTGGGAATTGAACCCAGGACCTCTGCAAAGGCAGCAAGTGCCCTGAACTACTGAGCCATCTTTCCATCTTTCCGGGTCCTGATGATAATACTTTTAAATATTTTTATTCATTGTGATAATTTCATACATGTTTATAATATAGCTTGTTCCTGTCCATTACCTTCTCGTGTTCCCCTCTAATGTCCTCTGAATGTCTTCCCAACAAATCCCCTCCTACTTCATACTCTGTGTGTGTGTGTCTCTTGCGTGTCTGTGTGTGTGTGTCTGTGCACGTCTGTGTCTGTGGGAGGAGAGAGGCCCTGCTCTTCGTCCTGGCCGCCCTGCTAGTTTACAGTGGTGTGTCTGTGTCCATGTCTGTGTGTGTGTGACAGAAAGGCAGGGAAAGACTGAGTTTAACTAGTGTTGTTTGCACAATATGGGTGTGAAGCTATGACTGAAGCACGGACAACCTTACCAGACGGCTACAGCTCTGATGAGCAATGACCCCTCCCACTGCAGCCACTGACCGCCAGCAGGTCCCCAGGGTCCTTTCTCCCTTTTAAGTTGATTGTCTCCAGTGTTTTGCCATGGCAATGGAAAGTGAACACACATAGTAGTTATGCAGACTGCAAACAAAGATTATTTATGTACCAATTACTGTGCCTAATTTTAGATGCTATACCGGCTTTTGGTTTGAGCGTTGAAGACTGAGCCAAGGTTCTTGTACATACACAGGTGAGTGCTCCGCCACTGAGCTTGGCCCCAAGCCCTGTGGGGTACATTTATGTGGTAGCACAGTAGACTTCTTGGCTGACATCTGTGTCAGCCCATGCACACACAAATCATGTGTTGTACCACCCAGTGACACCATCGATGAGTGCCCAGTTCTGAAGACTCGTGCACGTTTAACAATTTAACTGTGCTGATTATAGATCAATAAATGTGTTCGTATGTATTACCGAGACCTACCTAGAACCATCAAATCAGGATCTTTAGGTATCAAATCCAGGAATTTGGTTTTGTTTAAACACACCAATAGCACCAGCTACGTACTTAGATCAAAACACATGAAGGATTTTGAGAGAGTGGCAGGAACAGAGACTTAGCCATGCCTGCCACGTGTCTGTAATCCCAGCACTCAGGAGTCTGCCAGGAGGATTGCAGCTTCTGGGCAAACTGAGCTATTCAGCATGACCCTCAGGGTAGAGCATTAGGGTGCACAAGGACCCCTCTGGGTCCTTACAACTGCACACAGGCTGTGCCGCCACTGATCTTGCTCCCCGAAGTTTGGGATGCTCCACCTCACAGAGCAGGCCATAAAGTGGACGTATAAAGTCTATTATTAGGCGGAGGAGTAGGTGTGTGTGTGTGTGTGTGTGTGTGTGTGTGTGTGTATGGTATGTGTGTGCCAATGCAGATGCTTGCTGCTGCGACTGTGTAGAAGTCAGAGGACAACGTCCACAAGTCAGACTTGCCTTCCACCTGGGTTTGAGGCAAGTTCTCTTGTTTCTGCTCTGCGCATGCTCTGTGCTGTCTGGCCCACGATCCTCTCTTGTTTCTGCTCTCCTGGCTCCATCTCCCTTCTTGCTGTAGGAGTGCTGGGATTACAGATGTGTGCCACCACATCTTCCTTTTACCCAAACTCCTGGGATCAAACTCAGGTCCTAAGGCCTGTGTAACAAGTGTTTTACCCACTGAGTCATCTCATGTCTAGTCAAACAGGGAACTAGAGAGGAGAAGCAGACATGTCATAAGGTGTCTTCTCCCTGCAAGGACCACTAAGTGGTTTTTAAAAAATGTTTCTATGTGTGATGTGTACATATGTATGTGAACATGTATTCATGTGTGTAACGCCCCCAGATGTTAATACTAGCCTTCTACTTCATTTGAGACAAGGTCTCTCGTTCAGTACTGTTGTATGCTAGACTAGCTGGCCCGTGACCGTCCAGCCATCATAGGGGTGCTGGAATTACAGGCATGCACTACCACTTTGGCTTTCCCTGAGTTCTGGGGATTTGAACCCAGGCCCTCCTGCTTCCACAGTGAGCTCTTTATCCCCTGAGCCATCTCCCCAGCAGAACACTGTAGCTTCAATCAGAAAACTGCTGTGGAGTCCCCCCGCCTGGGGCTGAGTCATCTCTGGAACTGTGGGCTTTCAGCGACAGAAGACAGGCTGAGAGACCCTAGCTCGGTCTCTCGTCTGCTGATTCCAGTGGAGCAAGAAGTTAAAGACACTAGGCAGGGATAGGCAGGGCCCTCAGAATCTCTATGAGCTCATTGCTTGTCATCACCCAAATCTGGGGCACTGCTGCCGCTGAGACCTTAGCCTTCCTGCTCCTAGGCACTGGCCCCCCTGTGGTTCCCATCTCTTCCTGTGAGGATTGATTTCCCACCATCTTGGCCGCCCCGCAAATGCGTCATGGCCTCCTTATTCAAAGTCTGGCCCTTCGGTCATGAATACTGAGAAGGCTTCACATTTCCAGGTAGCATGCTCTAATTGCCCCCCAAAACATATCTCAGATTATCAAAGCAGTCCTCAAGCAGAGCGGGGGGCTTTCTCAAGAGAGCATCGGCTGCACACAGCTGATCCCAAGCGATCACACAAACCAGTGAAGGAGGCTCAAGTGCACCACCTCCCTGGCCACTTGACCCCGACCTTTGGATCCAGCTTCACTACCCCAGAGAAATCCCTTTGGTTCTTGTCTCTGGGACTCATCGTCAATCAAATGTGTCAAACAAATGTGTCAATCAAATGCAGCCCTCTGAGAGCGGGACTGTTCCATCCAAGTTGCTATGCTGATAGGAATGTTCTGCGTCTGTGTTGTCCAGTGGAGGAGGGTATGGTCACCAAGCCATTTGGACTGTGGTCAGTATGCCCAAGGAACAGAATTGAAACAAAAAATATAGCGTTTCAGAGGCTGGAGGTAGAGTTCAGTAACACGGCAGGACTGCAGCAGGTGAGAGACCCTGGCACAAAAGCAAACATCCTAAACCATGGAGCTGGGGGGTGGTGGCTCCCACCTTTAATCCCAGCATTTGGAGGCAGAGGCAGGAGGATCTCTGTGAGTTCGAGGCCAGTCTGGCCTACAGAGCGAGTTCTATGACAGCCAGGACTACACGGAGCAACCCTGTCTTGAAAAAAAAAACAAACCAACAAACAGAAAAGAAGTGATGGAGACTGCCCCTGAAGACACGGGTGTCTGGGGACTCCAAAGACTGCTGGGAGCCTACAGCCATGCCATCCTGAATGTACCTGACCATGGGTAAGCGTAGTATGAGATCAGAGTAGAGATACCCATTGGAGCAATAATGGGAAATCTAACCTGGTGGTGGGGGTGCACACTTTTAGTCCCAGCCCTAAGAGGCAGAGGCAGTCGGATCTCTATGAGTTCAAGGCCAGCCTGGTCTACAGAACAAGTTCTAGGACAGCCAGGGCTACACGGAGCAACCCTATCTTGAAAACCCACAAAGAGAAAAAGGATGGGGGGAGGTCTAACTTCTAGCTACACAGCACAGACTCCTGACCGCAAGTTCCCTCTGTGTGTCCTTTGACACATCACATCTCTTCCTTTGGGCCTCAGATTTCCCAAACAGACAACAAAAGTACTGGCTGACTCAAGATTAGTGGGTTTTGTTTGAGCACCTATGAAAATGAATACTGGGCTGATAGTTTATCGTGTGCTCAAGTACTAACATGCTCAAGGCCCTGGGCTCCATACTTGGCTTTGCAACAAGCAAAACTAGACGGCTAGCCCCACGCTTAGACGGTGCATGCGAGCAGATGGGCTCAAGGCTTTGTGTTTCCAGCCTGATGCTCGGTGCCGTTACTGCTGAAAGTTCCCAGACATTTTGAGACACCCCCACCCCTGATGCAGATGCCCACTTAAGACCTTATCAGCTTCTACTCAACAGCATGTTGGCTGCCCCTACTGAAGTGGTGGAGCGGGTGAAGACCTGGGAATGCAGTGGGAATTCTGCAGGGGACACTGAGTTACCGCCCTGTACCAGCATGACATTGAACGCCCTTGAGACCCAGCCACTACCCAGAAGAACTAAGGTCAGGTAGGACAGTGAAGTACAACCTGGAATCTGGGTTACACTATAAGCAGCTGTGGAGCCCTGAGTAGTGACTAAATGATTCCTTGCCTCAGTTTCTCATCTTACATACCAAAATGACATTGGCCATGCTTATGACCTGGACTAAAGAAAATGCTTAACAGATGCCTGCTGCTGCTGGGATTAATTGTCTGCCTGTCTAGTGGAGGGAAATGACAGCAACAGAACACTAGCCATTTCCAGAACATTCCCATTCAGCAACACCGTCCAGTCTGGATTCCCACACTCTAATTCCAATGCCATCACAAACTCCAAACCAGATTATGAGATCATGTCAAAATAATTTATTAAATAGACCCTGAGGGCTCCTCCTCGGAGCATGAACACCTCAGCACATAAATACCAATAAATAAATATAGCTGCCACTTCCAGCCCCGGCAAGGGCAGAAGAATAAGGGTTCCGTGGACAGAATAAAAATATCATAAATAACAAGGCTTGTCACAACGGCACAGCCTCTTTCGAGTTAAGTCTGTGGTACAAGTTCAGCCCTCCGACATGGACTCTCCGCTAGAGCTCCGCCCCCTCACTCAGCATATCCTGTCCTTCGGCTTCAGTTTTTCCATGCAGTCTGAGAACTGTTTCAAAACAGTCAGTTTGAAGCTTTTACGCTCATAGAATTTCTCAGGCCCAGAGATGCTCGGTTTCGTTGGATTGGAACAGCTGATGTCGGAGCACGTGATATCACGGAGTCGTTTTATGACTTTGGAGGTGTCTATTCTGTTCTCGCTCAGCCTTCTGACCTCCTCCAGATAGGCCTGGATGATGGAGATGCTGGCTGACGCGTGGCAGCCCAGGGTGAAGCAGGGCAGCTGGAGGGACTGGTCTATCGGCACCTCGCCCGAGCTGTTTTTCTTCTGTAGAGAGAGGGAAAGGTTTGAAATACTGTGAGGATCAGGTTTGTGATAGCCCTAGAGATCTGAGCAGCTTGTTCCAGGCTTCCTCTGTGTCAAGCCTGACTCAGACATCAGCTAATTGACACAGCATCCCTGTGAGGCTCGGGCCACCACTAACCCCGTGTCTGCGGGAATCTAAGGCAGGTTTATAAGCTAGAAGACATGGCACACCCACCCAGGTTGGCCATGTTAACGCTCCTACCTACCTAGCTGAAGCCACCCAGCCTTCCGTAAACTGCGCTTAGATGCTTAGAGGCTGAGGTAAAGGACAAAGGGGGCTTATCTGAGTTTGCACACAGCTCCCTCCTCTTCATGCCTCTGTATGAAGGCCACTGGTACCACGGAAGATGGTTTATGTGGCCTGCACAGGCCTCTGAGAAGCTAGAGAGTTTCTCAAACAAACGAAGGACTCGAAGTCCTTCCTTACCCTCCCTCTTCCTCAAAACTGACAGCTTTTGGGTAAAACCAAATTGCTAAGACCACATCAGCCTCACCTTGCTCAGCACCTCTACGTCTGTGTCTATTTAAGCCAGGGACAAAGCTTCAATGCCGCCAGGCGGACAACAAGGTCAATGCTAATATCAATGCCATTTCCCATCTGGGCGCTGTTTTTCTGAAGCTATCTGAGAGGTCTGGAGGAAGTGTGGTATTCACACTTACTGGGTCTTGTGCTATGCTCCTGCCAGCACCTGCCAAGGAAGAGGGCCTTCCAGCAAGTTCCAACAGCTCACACAGATAGTTACCTAGTTAGTTAACTGCTTTGAACTAGCCAGAGGCACCAGCGACCCAAGGGAGGATTTTCTCAACCCGCTTCCCCTAGGACATCTTCTGCTCCTTCGCAGGGGGATTCCTGACTGGAGCCGGCCCATCTCTGAAGCCGTGCTTCCAGCAGGAACGCTGTCTGTGGGAGCACAGACCGCCAGGTAGATGTGCGATAAGGAAGGTTGTGAGCTGCACACACATCCTGTCATCTGGGGAAAGTGGCTGGTGCCTGGGTCCCTTCACTAGTCTGCCTCCGCCTTCTCTGTTAGTACACTGACCCCCTCATAAGCATCCCCACAGCAGCCTGTCTGATTCTTTCCCATTCCACCCTGACTGCTGTAGCTGGTTTCACATCGGGAAAGAATAGCCATTCTGGAAAGCAAAATAAGGCATTTAAAGAAGTGATTTGGAAAAGAGACCTCAAGGGCACTTACGTAGTCTTCATACAGTTCCTTAGATTCAAGTTTCAAGTGTTCAAGTATAATTTTTGTCATGTTTGCTGTAGGTGCCCTGTTTGTTGTAGGTGCAGCAAAGGATGGACCGCAGGTGGCCAGCAAGGTTCCTATGCAGCAGAGCAGCACCCAGGCAGGCTTCGTCAGTCCTGGAGAGAGAGAGGGATGCCGTGAGCTCATGGGTCAGCTCTGCCTGGTGTAGCTGTTCCTGTCTCATTCCCCTGAGAGCCACAGAGCTGAAGCCATGTGAACTACAGAACCGGTGGTACCTGTGCGGAAGATCATGCTGATGGCCAGAGAGTGAGGAAAACCTGCTTCACGTGTGGCCTCTGGAGCTTGATGTGTTCGCCATGGCCACCAGGCAATATATAAAGGGCCGACACCGTGAGGGAGATCACAGGCCCGCCCATGGCGAAACCATTGCTCAGCTTTTCTCCAGAAAACACTTTCAAAGCCCTGCCAGCCACGCTCGGGGAAAGCGGGGCTGGAAGGAAGTACTGAGGTTACCCTCAAGGCAGGCAAAGGCTTGAGTCACAGCCATACACGTGCGTACACACACACAGATACACACACATACCACACAGGAAGGCACATGCATCTTGGGCATCTCTTTCTTCTTGGAAAGTGCTTGTTGGCTTAGTGAGAGGAAATTTCGAAGCCCAGTGTTGAAGAGTTCTACCACCAAGTGGCTTAGCGGGGGCTGAGGGTCAATGCCCTGCAGGGAATTTCTGGGAGGCCATGTGTAGGCACAGAGTCACTGTGAAATCTGCAGAGCGATCCATCTGTGGGCATTCCTGACGCACATCCACGCCAGTGAACGTGGGACGGCTCCGATCAGCGCTGTGTAGGTGTGCGGGCAAAGATTCCACGCTACGATGCTTGCTCGTGTCCCTGGATTCTCACCTGCGTCTTCACAACTTCTAGCTCTAGAACCAAAGCCAGCTCAAGAGTTATTTTGTGATGGTGTCTTCCATTTCCCAAGTAATGGGAGTAAGGAGGGTGGCTGATTATCAGAACACAGCGAGATGGCACACACCTGTAACTTAGTGCTCAGGAGGCTGAGACCAGAGGGTCACAAATTCAAAGCCAGCTTTGACCTAATAGAAAATCACTGTCTGAAAAAGAAACTATTTTTTGAGCCTTGAAGAAACATTTACTACTGAATTTCAAATCACACATGCAAAGTAAGTAAGACATTCTTCTGTCACCTTTAGAATCAAAATATCCTTTAACTATTTTTTTAAAATGAAAGAGTTTTTCATGGTTTGGAGAGATGGCTCAGTGGTTAAGAGCACTGGCTGCTCTTCCAGAGGACCTGGGTTTGATTCCCAGCTCCCACTAGCAGCTCATCACCATCTTTGACTCCAGTTCCAGGGGAATCCAGTGCCCTCTTTTGGCCTCCGTGGGTACCAGGCAGGCACATGGTGCACAAATATACATGCAGGTAAAACACCCATACACGCTGGGTAGTGGTGGAGCGCACCTTTAATCCCAGCATTTGAGAGTCAGAGGCAGGCGGATATCGGTGAGTTTGAGGTCAGCCTTGTCTACTAGTGAATTCCAGGACAGCCAGAACTGTTACACAGAGAAACCCTGTCTGGAAAAACAAAAACAAAAACAACAAACCTACCCATACACATAAAATAAATTTAAATAAAAGAAGAGTTATTCAGTCAGGCATGGTAGCTCAAACATATAATCCCAACTTTCAGGAAGCAGAAGAGGGAGGATTGATGCAAATTTGGGACCAGCCTTGACTACACAGTGAGCTGCAGCCCAGGCAGGGCAGAGTGAGACTGTAAGTCAAAGAAGAAAGTTCTTTGTTAGGCTGGGTTTATCCATCAATAGTGAACATGCCCCTCACATGCCCAAAGCTCTAATTCAATCCCCAGTGTTTAAAAAAATATTATTGAAAACATTTATTCTTTTTGTTAAGATTTAGTGTGTGTGTGTGTGTGTATGTGCGCGTGTGCATGTGTGTGTGTGTGTGTGTGTGTGCGCACACGCGCGCGTGTAGCCAATGCCTATGGAGGCCAGAAGAAGGCATCCGTTCTCCTGAAGCTGGAGTTACTGGTGGTTGTGAGCTGCCCAGCGTGTGTACTGGGAACTGAACTCAGGTCCTCTATGAGAGCAGCAAACGCCAAGGTGTCTCTCTAGCTTCCCATTTATTCTTCTTTGTTAGTTTTTGAAGATTCTGGGTCTGATAATTTATTTGTTACTCCTTTTGGAGGTTTGGGCTTTTTTTTTTCCGGTTTTTTTGAGACAGGGTTTCTCTGTAGCTTTGGCGTCTGTGGAACTAGCTCTTGTAGACCAGGCTGGTCTCGAACTCACAGAGATCCACCTGCCTCTGCCTCTGACCGGGTTTTTTTATTTTATTTTTGTTTGTTGGCTGTTTTGGTTTTGAGTTTTTTCAGACAGAGTCTCTCTATGTAGCCCTGGCTGTCCTGGAACTCTGTACATAAAGCAGGCTGACCTCCAACTCACAGAGGTCCTCCCGCTCCTGCCTCCCTAGTGCTGGCATTAAAGGTGTGTGCCCCCATGCCCAGCTGTGTGTCACTCTTAAAGGCTAGTGGACTGAACTCAGACTTAGAAGTAGCTCCTTTCAGGAAGGATAGCCTCCATTTCTTGGTAATCTGTTCTTGGTATTTTTCTTTGGCTTCCTTCATTCTCTTGATCAAAAGTTTAGCATCTTCTGCAGCCTCTTATTTTTCTATGTGTGTTGTTTCTTCAGAGCAATACATCAGCATCTGTGTTACAGGACACGTGCGTGGAGGAATAACACAGGAGAGCTTGGGTGCACTGGTCCTGGGCCTCTTACCTCCTTTGTTTAAGGGCTTCCGACAAGATATTGGTGAACATCGTCTCCTTTAAAGAGACAGAAAAGCTTTCGGATTCTGCTGCCTCTTTGGGACCACAACTGCTGAGGCCCACAGTAGAATCTGTCAGCCCAGGAATGATCTTTCTCTCCCTCTTTTACAACAGCCAAGGTGAGACACTCAGATTGGCACCCACAAGGCATCCTGAACAGACTGTGCTTCCGCCCTCCAGTTCTCCTTGATCCATAACAAGAGTGCTCCTCACTCGCCGGGCGGGAACAGTGCTCCTCACTCGCCAGGCAGGAACAGTGCTCCTCACTCGCCAAGCAGGAACAGTGTGTGCCTTTGATCCCAGCAGAACCAGACAGAAGTAGAGAAGTAGGTGAATCTCTGACTTTGAGGCCAGCCTTGTCTACAGAGCGAGTTCTAGGACAGCCAGGGCTACACAGAGAAACCCTGTCTCAGAAAAAAAAAGAAAGAAAGAAAAGAAAGAATAATGAAAGGAGAAGAAGGAAAAGAAGAGGAGGAGAAGGAGGCCCCCTTCATTCAACAGCAGGAACACTGCAGTCGGTGCTGTTTGTTGGTAAAGACAGTCTTCATTCACTAAAATACATTTGAAATGCCACTACATTTCCTCTTTTTGTCTAATAAAAAAGAGGGCTACAACTAATATAAGAAAACTATACAGAATAAGTACAATGACTGCACACAATATACACAGGCAATAAATACATCAACAATATCTGGTCCATTTGCGTTTGACAAATTCAGAGAAAATACTCCATATCCATCCTATCTTGTGAGTCCAAAGTCTTGTACCTAATTTACTTTCTGTCATAACTTGCTTTCTGCTGCGTCAGGCAAACAAGGGAAGCTGTAACTCTCTAGTCTTCAACTCCCTCAGAGACCCACAAAGGAAATAATATTAACTGAGTAAGCAGGAAGTGTGAGCAAGTTACTTCCAAAAACTGTGAGTAACAACAAAAGCAGCCGATCTGGACCACATGGTCCTTCCATTCTCCACCAGAGCATCAGCTGCTGCTGCTGCGGCCACGGGCTTCTGGGCTTCTCGTAGAAAGTATATGATTTGCATTCATCGTCCACTTCAATGAGTTTCTGGCAGCCGTGGCTGGGAAAGTGACATGCAGCTTCATCTTGACGCAGCCAACCACCTAGGTGATGCCATGAAAGAGAGCCGAGAGAGCTCCCGACTTATTTATTTATTGTTGTTGTCTTTTTTCAAAACAGGGTTTCTCTGTTTTGAACTCAGGCTGTAGACCAAGATGGCCTTGAATTCAGCAAGCTCCACCTGCATCTGACTCCTGAGTGCTGGGATTAAATGTTCCACCTTTACTCTTATTTTGAGTGTTAACTGTGTTCTCTTCTGGGTCCTCAGGAAGAGTCTCAAAAAGTCCCTGTCCTTAAGAGCCTAACATCCCAAAGGTCAAGGGACAGGATTAAAAAGTGTTCGCAAATTAGAAAACATCCAGCAACAACAAAATTACCAGTAACTGCCACACGACTAGCAAGAGAGTGGTGTGTCTGATCCCCTAAGTCAAGGGATCAGACGTTGAAACTAAAGCCAGGCTTGATGGCTCACAGACAGTTTGAAGCCAACCTGTATTACGTAGTAAGTTTCAGGTTAGCCTGGGCTACAGTGTGAGATCATCCAAGAAAAACTGACTTAACAATTAACTGATTGGTTGATTAAGAGTGAGACCTGGCCGAGCAGTGGTGGCGCACGCCCTTATTTCCAGCACTCGGGAGGCAGAGGCAGGTGGATCTCTGTGAGTTCGAGGTCAGCCTGGTCTACAGAGGTAGTTCCAGGACAGGCTCTTAAGCTACAGAGAAACCCTGTCTCAAAGAAAGGAAGGAAGGAAGGAAGGAAGGAAGGAAGGAAGGAAGGAAGGAAG